CCCCGATGCACCCTGCGCCCAGCAGCCTCGAGGCAAATCTCCGTCGTCAACCCTCGGCCGATCGTGCATGCGGACCTTGACGTTCGTCCAGCCACTATAGCTTATCGGCCGCGGAGCTGCGCATGGCGCCCGTAATAGTACATCGAGGGATGTGTCGGAGAAATAAGTGGAGCTGCAGGAAAAAGAGTGAAAGATCCCATCACATCTGGGCGACATGGATAAGTAAGGGTGCACAGACCAGGGCCGGCAAACCCCGTCCGCTTCCCGTATCAAAGATTATCACTGCCAGTCCGCCACGAGTTCGATGCGAGCAACGTCTTGCAAGGGGTCCGCCATTCGTGCTTTCGACTTTGGGGCCAAGTGGTACAGAAATGTGGCCGCGAAGTTCGAGTTACGGGCCGGCCCGGATACCTCCAGAACTCGGGTTGCCAACCAGATTCATCGGAGGCAAAGTCAAGATATCATGGCCATGATCCCGAGATCGATCTGTCTTAGCGGCAGAGCCTCCGTGTCAAAGAAGTCTGGACTCGGTAAATGCGGCGAACGCCGAGGAAAAGGAGTACATATCATGATCTTTCTAGCCTTTCATCAAGATCGAAAATTTGCTGGGACTTGTGAAGAATTCCCGCTGCCCGAGTACGCCTTTGACACAAGCCAGACGTCCAGCCGAACGCCACTGTCTCTGTTACGACAGGTGACTCATCCAGACTGTGGAGGCTCTAATAGCCCTGCGCACCTGATGTTTCAGGTCTCACTCAAACATGCCAGAAAGCCCGTCAGCGCAGGAATAGATCTCTCCTAGTAGACGACAGAAGTAGAAACCGGGGAAGGGGTATACAAGCGCAGCGCATGTGTCGTATTGAGGAAAAGAAGCGGAGATTACTGCTAGTACGCATCTGAGTGGGCTTGCTGGCTCGGTTTCAGGAGTTGAGACTCTGGTATTCTTAGCGACGGAGCTAACATGAGTGGGATTCATATCAGTCAGGAAGAAAGCCGTCGCTGATGCGTTTCCTGAGCAGCAGCATGAGGACTGAAGGCACATTTGCCGGTGAAGGGTGTGTGGCACGTGGAGCAGGAGGCAGGAACAGTCAAGCTCGGTGCGGGGCATGTGTCGCGGCTTCGGGATGTCACAGGATACGTCACATGAGATTGCACATGCAACGCGCAAGGGTCCACAGACGATGACAATGGATTGTGAGAATACAAGGCAAGTAGCTGTAGAGATTACAAAGTTATACAGAGATGTAGGTGGAAACATTGTCTGGGATTTCAGAGCAGTCGTTTGGAGAACTTAATCTGAAACTGCAGCGCATAGTCAAAGTATCACTTGAGCTTCAATCCGCGCAGTCCGCGCACGACATCATCCATGGAGCGGACGTCGCGACCGCCCCATTCCCCAGACCATCCCTCTTCTTCACGGTGCATGGTATAGCCTGGAGCCCAGCTCCGGGGTACAGCCGCGTCGGGGCCGGTGGCGATCGCAGGATCACGAGACAGCGACACAACCTGATACGACCGCTCGGTGGCAGACGAATCGATCGAAGGTCGGACAGAGCTCTTCCTCCTCTTCAGCTTGGCCCATTCCGCGCTGGAAGCCTGGTTGGTGGGACGTGCGGATTCGTATACTCCTGCCGACAGAGTGCTCGCTCTGCGAAGTGGGGGTTTGCGCGCGGCCGATTCCACTGCGGGTGCGGACGCCCGGATATCCAGGACCTTGGGGTCAGGAAACACCAGCTCGGGTGGCACGTTCTCGCCCAGTGTCCTGCTGAGCTTTGCCAAGACCTGCCTCCTCCTCGCGGAACTCTCGTCCCCGCGGTGGGTGTGGTGAGGCCTGCCGATATCAGTGTCGCTGGCGTCAAGACAGGCGACTCGGCGGGTGTCGAAGGAGATGACGACCATGACGTGCGATGGGAATCAAACATGTGAGATGGCGGGAGATTGATAACGAGTGTCGGTCGAGGATCCATTTCATGGTGCGAAGAGATGCTGAGGTTGGCTGGATCGTGGCCGCGCGCATGGCGGCGCACATAGATTCCGACGCTGGTCCGGGACATAGTGCTGGCCGATGAAGCGGAGCGTTTCAGTGTGGAAGTTGAGGCATGGGAGGAAGTGCTCGGGACCATCGCCGGGGGGCCGCCATCGAATTCCTCCCCGGATCGTCTCGTTCTATGACGAGCGGGGTCTCGCCCAGGAGTGCCCCGAGCTTGCGGGTAGATCGCATCAAGCGCAATCGGTGTGAACGGGAAAGTGTGTGGGAAGTGGGAGGTGGTGCTGCAGCCATGGTATTGGTTCCCGAAGCCATGACTGAGGGAGCAGAGAAAGGATAGAGAGGTTTGGGAAAGAGAAAGAGGGACAACACAGGCGAGATATTGTGTATCTTATAGAGACCGAGCAACGGTTGCGTAGGCACCACCCCACTGATGCTCCGGGAGTCTGACAGCGCCCTCATTTCCACGTGCGGTGTGGTCCTCTACTTGCGAAATAGGAATGCGTCACATCGCATAGTTTGAAAAACTGTCCCCAGAGTGACAGAGCAAAAATGCGTCGAGGGATGGCTAAATCTTGTATACGCACCAATTTCAATCGATATCAAGACATGATAAAGAACGGCGGACATCGGCCCTTGGAAAAACACGATCCGGTCGTCCGAAAAACAAGCCTGGATGACGGCCTGGCTTCTCCGCGGGCCCTCAACGCCCAGACCATCTGCGCTCCGACTTGCTTTGCATCGAGACATCCTGGCGCAACCGATGAAGGGCATCTGGCACATCGCCGCGCGAAAGATTTCGATTCGTCTGAAACAGTGTGATCGGGCCAGAATTGGCAGGCTCATCTGGAGCGACGACGGAGGAGATGATGGAAAATGAAATTGATTGGCCTTGCTGCGCTGGCAGGTGGCGGTGCTCGGTTGCGGGACGGTTTGGTCCGGGCAGGATTTATGCAAAACAAGCCCCGGCCGTGGGTGCTTTACAAAGATATAAGGCAAAAGAGGATTAATATCTCGAGGCTCAACGCGTAATTCCGTGACGCCTAGCTCAGGCCAAAAACTAGCTCCAATGCCCCGAATGGAAGGTAGTCGGACATGAAATGAGGAGTGATAGACCTCCACCTCTGATCCTGATGTTCGACAAGAATTTTGTTTCTCTCCGTGTTCCAAAATAGTCCTCATCGGCTTAACGGGTTACGAATGGCTTTGGAGGTGTTGGAGGGCTCCCGTGTCGATTGAGCTGTCCGAGAACGACACTGCCACCTGTCAAGATCATCAATGTCACTCTTGTCACACACGCACCTTCGCTCTAGTCCACCGTCATCCATCTTCCTCTCGTCGTCGGCTACGTCTAAACATCATGGTACGGTTCTATTTCAGCTATTTTCAGAGTAGACTGACTCCCTATGAACATTCATAGGCGCGTAATCAAGAGAAAGCCCAGTCCATGCTCTACCGCTTCCGAGAAGCGCAAGCGGCAGAGCTTGGTCTAGGTACCCGAGCTGACCGCCGACCCAAGATGGCCAGTGCCTGTAAAAACATGCGCGAGTGTGAGAGGTGGCGTGGTGAGCTCCTCAGGGAGATTAGTCGCAAGGTCGCGAAGATCCAAGATGGTGCGTGCCCTTTTCTTGCCCCGCCTTCATGTGCCCTTGGCTGACGAGCGGCTCGCGACATCCAGCTGGTCTTGGTGACTACGAACTCCGTGATCTCAACGATGAGATCAACAAACTCATGCGAGAGAAACGGCATTGGGAGAACCAGATCGTGGCATTGGGTGGAGCGAATTACAAGCGTAATGTAGCGATGCTGGATGACGACGGGAAAGAGGTCCCTGGGACGAAGGGATACAAGTCTGTGCTCCTCGTTATTCGCGTGTCCCTTGCTCATCCCTCACCCGCGGTTAGATACTTCGGTCGCGCGAAAGAACTACCAGGTGTACGGGAACTTTTCCAGGGTCGTAAGAAGGAAGAGGAAGAAGACAACCTGGCGATGGCGCATTACCAGAAGTTCACGAAGCAGGGGCCTTCATACTACGGCGATCTTGACGAGAACGATGGAACGCTGCTGGAGTATGAGCGTGAGGCTGAAGCAGAAGGTGCGGACAACGGATAGCGAGCGCGAAGGACTTGCTGATTCCGGCGTAGAATGGGAAGAAGCGGCTTCCAATCTGCGTGAAGCACTCGATCTTCCCCAAGACGCTGCCATTCCAGGAATTCCACCGTCAACTTCTCCGGCGAACCCTGATGTCGAAATGCCAGCCTCGACAGTCGAAGCTGACCAAACCTTGGCACACGCGAAGATGCTCGTTTCCTACATGCCCTTCCTCAAGCCCGAAATGTTACTTGCACCGAAATTGCCAACACCGAAGGAGGTCGAGTCGGTGTTACTTGTCCTGCAGAAGCAAGCTCTCGTCGAGGAGTACTTTGGCGCGACTGATGGAGCAATCCCAGCAGCAGCTTGATCTTTACTCTGCTTCCCTGTGTATGCATTATTCCGGCATCCCCATCCGGAGGAGGGTCTCCTACGCGCGTACTTATGACCGTCCGCATGAGATTTCTGCACTGTGCGGATCGCAGAACACGGTACCCGGATGCCTAGGCTTCTACTGTGACAGTGCTGCTCTGTGTCGAAGCATCTAGACCATTGAGAACGCTTGCGAAGCATAGCCAATAGAAAAGACTTATCTCGCTTATTTCATTTTGTCTGGTGACCAGTATGCAACCTGGTTTTGTTTCCCATTACGCCGTCCTCGATTGCAGACTCACTCAGTGAGCACATTTCATATCTATGACATCGATGATGAGTTTGTGCATGTAGGAATGAATGTGAAGTGCTTGCGGTCTCGGACGGGATGAAGCATAACCGACACACTTTAAAATGTAGATGTGTTGACTAGAGACTAGCAGCTCGTCGCGTCCCAGCTTCGCAGTTTTGACTGCAGATCGTCTCTTGCGCTTCCTCTCAAGAACAAGCCATCTCTTTGCGAGGATGTGCCAACGCATTGTGTGAGCTACCCAAACGATCATGCTGTAGAGTCTCACTCATCCCTCCAGAGAAGGCACTCGCTGGACAAGATGTGGAGTACGCATCAGCCTCATTCCAGTGTTGATTCTACTGATTTATCGAGACGCTGGTCAGCATTTTGAACGTCAACTGGTGACCGCCCTGCTCGACTGCAGATCAAATCACTGCGAGCACTCTGTGTACCATCCCGAGTGGTGTGAGCGCAACAGGTGCTCACGTGTGCGTCCGTCTTGCTCCAGCCTCTCCGGCAGCCGCTGACGCAAGTGCTGCTGGATCTACAGAAGTTCGGACCGGAAATCCACAGGGACGTGCGACGGATAAATGCGTTCTGCCACGATTGTCAGGAATCTATCCGACGCGCTATTCGAGACCGGGAACGCCGAGGCCCGATCTATGTGTACGTTCCAAATACCCTCTATGAAGAGAGCGACAACGAAATCGAGGGGTGCGGGTGTTGTTCGGGATTTGAATCCGAGGAAGATGAGCCTGACGACTCAGCTACCTCTGAGCCGGAGGCAGAGGTAAAAGCCAATGTCTTGTGCTCGAACAACGGGGGATCGTGCGAGAGGAGGGGTGATAAGGCATTGGGCAGAGCCGGAGATGTCATCATTGAGGAAGTAGATCGATTTTAGTTTCCTGAAGTTATCCAAGGAGCGCACAGATTCTTCGTCACACAATGTTGCATAACATGAGAGGATCGCGCCAAGGGCTGGGTGCACAGGGTCAGAAGTGATCCGTTCAACAGTGATCGACGCATGATACTCCTGATCCCAACCTGAACCTCCACAATCGTCGTTCTCCGATTGCCTGTTTCCCGCCCGGGCGAGACAGTATAAATCTAGGACATAACCTCGCTGGACCCTTAGGATGTACTCGCGTTTCGGGAAGCCATGGTGGATCCTCATTTGCGGCCTCGTCTTGATTTTGCTCTTCACTTTCCGAATGGGCGAAATGACACCGAGCATACCTCGCCGGCTCTACTCAAGCATGAACTCATCATTTCACAGAGGAAGAAGAGTTTATCTGAATGCCGCCGGGCTGGGCGGTGAGGGCCTCGGGGTGCGTGAAAGCCGTCGGTCACAGTTCCTGCAACTGACGAACAGCATCTAGTCGGCGATGCATCACTTCAAACAGAGCGTGATCTTCGCTGAGGCGTTGGACTCGGAGTTTATCCTCGCCAATGAGTATGACTCTGAATTCCGGTATTCGTTGTCGAAGATCTTGAACGGCCCCGTGTTTGATAACCAGTTCCTCGATTATGATCTGCGCAATTCCTGCCGCGTGAACGACTTCATAAAGGACCACGAGAGAGAGAAGCTCGCACATGGCATCTGTGAGGGCGCGGAATGGGCGTCCGAGCGGCTCGAAGAACTGACGAGCGAAATGATGGCATGCACAAACATCCTCGATACATTTAGCCACGAGGTGAGTCTCTTGGTCCTCCTGTTTTTCGAGCAGCTGCTCAATCGCACTGTCCTAGATTACGCAAGACCTCAACGGCTGCATCACACCTTGGTTCCGCTCGCGTTTGCTTCCCGCTCCATCCCCAACGCACACGCTTCCCCTCCTGACCTATCCTCCACAACGCCCGATCCGCATCGGAGTCCACATCCGCTGGGGAGACACTTCTAAGACCTTTTCATCTACATCCGAGTTGCTCTCGCATGAGTTCTATGGCTCGTTCGCCATGCCCAATCTGATCACGGCTCTTAACGATCTGCGCGAGCTGGCCGGCCCAGCCGGGATACACGTCCAAGTGGCGATGGAGAATGCCGAACAGCGGGTTCTGGACAGTCTCCCTCTGCACACGTCGGAGCTCACGGTCTTGGACTCCCGGGCCGATGACGATCTGGATGACCTGAGAAAGCTGAGCGAGAGCGATGTCTTG